CATCACGGGTCGATGGGTTGTAATCTCCGGCATGTTGAGTTTTTTTCTCGGTTTAGACTAGGCTTTCAAGTAGGATGAGATGTGCCTACGCTTCACTCCAGCGCGGCACTGGGAACCTAATTTTTAGACATGGAGTTGAGCATTTCATTTTCTCTTCATTGCGTAGGGGATTACCTTAGTATTTGAGTAAGTAGAGGGGACCAGGACTGAGATTGGTGCAGAAATCCAGCTGCGGGGGCCCTTGTAGGCGTGAATATTCCAGATCTAGCGCAAAAGAAATACAGGCGGAGGCTAACTCTATATACCCAAAGGCATGCCGCAGCCGCAATTCAATGGGCCTGACATCCTGCGGCGCGGTGAGGAAATTTCCAGCCATTGAAGCAAATTTCCACCTTATTAATTGCTGTTGAGCTTGTCGCCACAACACAATAAATATGGACGTAAGTGCTGACGGTATACCGGTTCCTTCTGCTGAAGAGGCTTGGGCGGCCATCCCATCGTATCCATCGCTGAAGCCATTTCTAGACGCAGTTCCATACTTATATCGCGGATTCCCGTCGGTCGAATTCTGACTGAGCGCGCTGATGTTTCACGAAGTTTTATCCATGTCATGTATCTACCCGATTTGATTCCAGAAATGCTACATTTAATACTCAAAATTCACATCCTTGGTCCACCCCCCTTGGTTCAGTAGTGGCCGAGCTCACGCCAACGCGGCAGCAAGGAGTTCCGTGAATATGGGCGTGCCGAATCCAGCTAATCTACTTGTCAGAAACGCATTGCTTTACAAAATACGCTGCGCAAACTCACTGAGTGCATCCCATCCCACCGCCGCGTTGAACGCCACCTAGTCGCCACGCAGTGAGTATATATATACTTCGTTATACTTATAGTTCAAGGAGAACTCACCGACGTGACGGGACAGACGAAGCCCGAGTTGTGCCCGATAGTGATATCGGTAAACGCCGTCGACGTGGCATAGATGAACGGGTTAAGGAACCCAAGAACGGGTTTCCCCGCAGCCACGAGCCGGTCATTGATCAGCGCAATAATGCCCGCAAACGTCGGGCTCGACGCGCTCGTCCCCCCAACAAGCCCCGCCGCGCCGCCCGTCACGATCTCGAAGTTCCACCCCTGCACCGCGACGTCGGGGTACCCGCGCCCCGCCTTGTTGAACGTGCCCGCAAAGTTCGTGGGCACGGTCTTGAGGAAGCTCGCGACGGCGGCGGTCTGGTAGGACGGCGTGGCGAAGACGTTGGAGAAGCCGCCCCCGGTGAAGTTGATGGCTTTCTCGGGGCCGAAGCCTTGTGTGGAGCCGACGGCGGTGACGAAGGGGCAGGCGGCGGGGAAGACGGGCATGAAGGTGTTGTCGTTGCAGACGCTGGTTGTGTCGTGGTTGCCGCGGACACCGCCCTGTGGAGCCAAGGTTAGAGTCTAAGATAGATGTGGGAGGGTTAACAGTACTCACATCTCCGGACGCAAAAAGCACAGAGATACCCCGTGTACCGAGGGCCATGTAGCCGTTGCAGACCTTGCTGTGAATAGGGTGAGAATTAATGAATAAATCCGCGAGTAGAGATACCGACGTTGCCATCGCACTTCCGAAAGACGATTCAGTGGAGCCGTACGATGTTGTCATAACCGAAGGTGGCTTGGCCACGCCGTCGAGGAACGTAGTCGTGTCGAGCAAAGATGTAGCGAAGTTGTTGCCACCAACCGAGAGGAATTGGATCGGGACTTCCGTCGCGATACCTTGTGTGGATTTTAGCAACGTCACATGGCAAAGGAGAAGGAGGGAAGTACCCGTTGTGTACTGAATATCCAAGTCCGCCTCAACTCCCGCGTCGTTCGGGTTCTGCGTGTTCACGCCGCCATCTGTGGTCAGCAACGTGAACGTCGTAGTGGAGGGAATATCAGGACGCAGGAGTTTAAGGAAATCCTATTATAATGACATCGTCAGTGGTGGCATTGCCTGTCGACGAAAACACGCACTGCGAGATCCGCAGTCTGGGCAAACTGCTCTTCGTAGGCAGTGACGAGAAGGGTGTTGGTCTTCTCGGTGGCGGGGGTCGTAGGGATGCCGTAGAGCTCCTGCAAGCACGTCGGGGTCACGATGCCGCTCGGCAGGCTGGAGTTGCACGACGCGGCGACCGCGCGCCTATCGAGGCTGAAGCTGGTGGTGGGCGCCAGGCGGGCATTGGGCTCGACGAACTCGGTGGTTGGGTGGATCACGTCGATGTGGCCGACCAGCTCGGACGGCAGAGACACCGAGAGCGTGCGCGTGATCGTATCCGACATGGCGGGGTGCGTGAAGACTTCGAACTGCGCAGCGAAGAGCTCGTTTGCCTGGGAGACTGGGAGCGTGATCGATACCCAATCGCCGTTCGGGGAGATAACGGTGGGCTTGAGGCCGTTCGCAGATGCGAAGGCAGCAAAAGTGGACACCGTTTCGGCGGAAGGCTCAACGAATGATTTCACCTTGTTGCTCGTCAGACATGAAGTGTACGGGCAACAGATAACAAAATAAAAATGCGGACCTCCTCCATCGACAGCCACTGCCGGAACTCGGAGCTGCCCGGCGTAGAAAGGGACATCATCTTTTCCTCCAGGCCGGCGACGTTGTTGGAAGCCAGAGCAACACGGAGGGTGAGCATGTCATTAGCGGGGGCAGCACCTTGACGGGTGAATCCGGCTGGAACGCCGGCACGGCTCTCGTGCACGACCATCCCTGCGGACGCCGCAGCCACGATTGAGAGCACAGTCAAGAGCTTGCAGAGGGCCATGGTCGCGACCAGATGAGGGGAGAGCGATGAAGCCTAATCGCAGCCTAGTTCGATTGAGTTTATAAAGTCATCCAAGGCGCGGTGTGCGTGCAGAGACGTTTGCGAGCCGCCCATATGTCGAACGCTATTTTCGCTCTGATAGCTGAGGTTCGGGGGCCATAAATAGAGTGACACGCCTTATCGGTGGGAATTGGCTAGGCGTTTTCCCATCGGAGGGTTGTATTCGCCCACGCCGGTGGACTCGGACCACCGCGCGTGGGGAATATCGAAGACGATAACGAGAGTCGAGGTCGACATAGGGAACAGGAACACGCTGACACCGTTCACGTGTAGGAGAACAGACGACAAGGATTTGGGGTGGACACTATAATCGACAGGAGGTTGAAGGTCAAGTGATGTGCTAGTTCAGAACAAGGACCGAGCGAGTGAGTTTGTCAAGACTAGCGATGCAGAGGACATCGAGATCGATTGATCGAGGAAAGTAAGCCAGCCAAAGCAGTGAAAAGCTCCCGCGGAAAGGGTGGGGAACCAGCTACCCGGCGGCGTGGGTATGACCAGAGGACTAACCGCAGTAAAGGGACCAGCTGATTTTGGCGCCTCGTGTACCACGTGGTAAGAGGAGAAAGCGCGGATGGTCGTGTTTGGATTCATGCAGATAAAATAACAGTTGCAAACACGAAGTTCAACTATCAAGGAGTAATAACAAGAGGCGAGCGATCGCTCTCGATCAAACACAGACCTCTTTGACAAGGTCCCCAAATTGACTCGTGACTTCTTTGGACTTTCATCGAGCTCGATGGTGGACATTTTATTTCGGCTCAAAGCCGTCCTCCGGCGGTTTTGAGATGTTGCCTACCCCCCCCATTTTCATAGCTTCTCCACCGTTCTAGATACTTGAAATAATTGATTCCGTCCCATGTGCGGTGCAATAGATTTTACAACACACTTCGGTGAACTTCGGCAAAAACTTCGGCCGGTGATGGTGATGTCATGAAACCAACATAATCTCGGTCCACAAAGCAGACAGAAACTGGTAGAAATTGCCATATCGGCTGCTTACTTACCCCCCTCCCTCCCCCCCTTGGCAGCTGTCACTGAGGTCTGTGTCGGCGACTTTAGGATCGCTCGCCTCTTGAGTTATAAGACTGCCGGTTGCAATGAGCCACGGAGTCGTATCCCCGTGATTATTTCGCCGGCGCGGTACTGGAACAAATACCTATAGTGAAGGCCTGAGCCCTTGACTCAAAGAGTGTTAGCATAGTACGTTGGTTTGGGAGGAAGCGAATGATGATTCGGATTTTTACGACGTACGTATTTACGCCATTTTTGAACCAACGAAGGGCAGATAGAGACATAAAAATAACGAAAAAAAATGACTCGGGCCTGAATCGAACAGGCGACTTCTGCGTAGATATAGGGGAGCTATTGAACGCAATAGATCGCAGATGCGGACCATCCACCACCGAGTCGTTGTTAGACTCAATTTACGCTTAACTAATCGGATTGAAATCGAGGACGATTTTAAGCATAGTTTGCCATCTAAGGAGGATCTGCGTGCATCGACCCATCTCCTCGGCGGACGCACATGCAATCTTGCATCTTTGAGCAGCAATTGAGCTCGTTAAGGGGACGAAAAGTAGGAAATAAAAATACACAAGGCGAAACCCAATGACTCGAGCCTGAGGCCAACAGGCTTCTTCTGCAGTTGACTACATTTTTCCCACAGATATAGCAGACGCGGACCTTCCGTCACCGAGTCGATATTGAGGGTGAAACCGCCCTGGATAAATCAGATGGATTTAACCCAAGCTCGATAGTCAACAGAAGAATACAAGGAACCAACATCGATGATCTGGCCATTCATAGTTATAGTTGCCTTAACTAAAAAAATTGAACGCAGCAGCCAAACATGACTCGGGCCCGATTCGAACGGGCGTCTTCTGCAGATATGCCATCCCAGTTGCAGTCAATTGAGCGTAGACGGGTCCATCCCCCACCGAGCCGGTGTTGTTGCCCTTCAATCTGCGGCCAAGTATGAATGAATCGGTCTCAGTCTGTGGAGCATATCCGAGAAAGTGCAATTCATCTGGTGATCTCGACCGTGAATGCTGGGCCTTAATTCGCGAATATGGACCGATAGAGAGTGTATGCGTGCTAGCGTGAGGAGCAAACTCCTCCAGAAAAAAAGGGGGGAAAAACCTCGAGAGGAAGCACTAATGACTCGGGCCTGAGTCAAACAGGCAAGGGTTCTGCATTGACCTCGATTTGGAAATTGATGTATATTAGGCAGACGCGGGCCTTCCGCCACCGAGTCAGTGTTAGACTCGATCCGCAGGGCATGAGAGATCGAGCACATTTTTGTGTAAGTCATAATGTGGATCAAGGGCAGCGTGCATTGACCCATCCCCTCGGCGGACGTGCATGGAATAACTTTGGGCTCGCTGCGCTACGAAGTCGTAGCTCATCTGATGAAGCTTATGTCCACGGAAAACCACTGCTAAGCGGGAACTGTGAAAAAGAAATAAAAAATACATCAACTTGGTAAAATCATGACTCGGGCCTGAGTCGAACAAGCATCGTCTGCATGGTACTCGGTATCCCTTCACACGAATATAGAGCAGAGGCGGGCCATCCGCCGCCGAGTCGGTGAAGAGGTGAAACCTGTATTGAATAAATAAGCTTGGGATGGAGCGCGACTGTATGTATTATGTAGTCCCTCGGGGAAGGTTACTAACCAATTCTTTGGGGCATGTACGGTATAATATTTCTTGCAGCCTCGTGGCTACGATAATTGGGTGAAACTTCTGCCCACGAGAGGAGCGGAAGAGGAAGAAAAAAGATGGGAACCGTACTCCGCTATGACTCGGCCTGAGTCGAACAGGCGTTGTCTGCATCATAGTGCCTCAAATTTTCAGCGTTAACTTATGCAGAGGCAGACCATCCGCCACCGAGTCGACGAATGACCTCAATTTTCACCGGGTAAACGAGATAGAGTGTTTGCGCGGAGAGGAAAGCGGTTTATGCTACAGGAATTCTGTTTATTATGAGGATCGTCGTGACACGGGTAACAAACACTATAAAGCCTTCGGACGCCATTATACGCGACGCTTGATGTTGGCACTCAACCACTCTAGACCCTCGTAAAGACCGTCACCGGAAGTCGCGCACGCCGCCTTGGGGCACGGGTTAGCGCGGGCGCTTATAGAGGGTCATCGGGCGCTTGCTTACCTGAATGTACCAAGATCGCTGTCTGAGGCCGCGGAGGCCAAGGTTGTCGGTGAGCTCTGCAGCGTTCATCGCATTCGGCAAGTCCTGCTTGTTTGCGAAAACGAGAAGGAGGGAATCGCGGAGGTCCTCCTCGTTGAGCATCTTGTGCAGCTCCTCCCGGGCCTCAGACACACGTTCCCGATCATTAGAATCGACGACGAAGATGATGCCCTCCGTGTTCTGGAAGTCTGTGGCGCGGAGTGAGACGGGGGTCAGAGGGGTGAGAAATGGACACACAGTGCCTCCACAGAGGACGAATATTGTCCTGGCCACCAACGTCCCACACGTTGAATGAAATGTTCTTGTACTCGACGGCCTCGACGTTGAACCCTGATTTATGGGTTAGCACCACGGGGGAAGACGACATGTCGGACACGTACCGATTGTCGGAATGGTAGTGACAATCTCTCCGAGCTTCAGCTTGTACAGGATGGTGGTCTTACCAGCAGCATCGAGACCGACCTTATCGAGAGGAAAATCGCATTAGGGCCGTCGAATGAGGCGGGAAAGATCATACCATAAGAATTCCTGCAGAGACGGTACGTCAGAACCTGGTTGTGAGATCGGCTACGGGTACGCACGCATTTCCCTTTTGCCGAAGAGGCCCGAGAGCAAACGAGAAACGGAGAGACCCATAAACAGTTGGAGGGAGGATGTGGAAGGGCGGAGAGCAAGATGGCTGTGAACGCTGTTTGAATGACCCTTATGCAATACCGAGCTTAGCTAAATCCTTTCTCCTCCTTGCGCCTCTTATATATTGAGAGGAGGCTCAGGGACACGTAGGCTCACGTATATCTACGTGGTTGCTGCGGCGGCGGGATTCTGTCGGTGTCATGCTGCAAGAGGTCCGAACAGGATTGCCTGCCTTTATGATGTACTGACTCATGTTTGACTCATGTACATGGCTTTTGACAAGAGGTGAGCGATCATTCCGATCTTAACACTGACAACCCCCCAAATCAGGAAGTCCGAGATCACCGACCGACTGGACTTTTTATTTCGGCTCAAAGACGTCCTCAAATCCTCTTGAGATTTCTACCCCCCATTTGCATACATTATCTACCGCTCTATGTACACGAAATAATTTATTTCGCTCTGTTTGTAGTGCAATAGACTTAACAACACACTTCAGCGAACTTCGGCAAGACTTTCGGCGGGCGATGGCGATGTCATGGAAAACCCCCATGTGTCCACGCACCCCCATGTGGAATTCTCACTGATGGCAAGCTCATTTCTGCCCTGTTTGCTTCGATAAAAATCTAGGAAGTGCATTCATCTCCAAACCATCGGCGTACCAAATATCTAGGGAATATGAACGCTAGAGCAGACAGAATAAATTGAATGGAACAATTTGTGACACTGCCAAACGCCTGCCAAAACTCGCTTCCACATGGTGTCCCATTTCGGAACGCTTATAACTTTCCACAGACGCCTCCAAAAATTCTGGAAATTTGAAATACTGCGGAACACGTGTACGAGAGCTTAAATTTGCGTGCCGGAGGAATTGTGAGCAGCGAACAACTTGCTATTTTATGCCATCACCGCCATGGACAGAGGGGGGACTAGGATAGTAATCTCAGTCGAGAACGCAAAGCAGACATGAATCAACTCCAGATGATCGAAATTGCCATATCGGCTGCTTACATACCCCCCTGACAGGCGATGACTCTTTACAATCGCACACCTCTTGACTCATGTACATAGCTTTTGAGTTATATGCCCGGGACCATGAAAGGACGGTGAACAATGTACGCTGGTGAATAACGTACGCCGGTGTCCAGCAGTGTTCACCACTGATCCTCGGACCTAAAATGACACACCTTGCGAAAAAGGCGAGCAAAGGAAATGACACACCCTGGAAACCGAGCGAGAAACTACACAGCCCGGAAATGGAGCAGAAAGAGACACAACTTATTTCACTGGATCATTGAGGGTGAGCACCATCTGTGGATGGCAGAAGAGGGGGGATGCGAGCAAAAGACAGGTATGGAGATGGAGAAAGATGGCAAAAGCATTGAGATTGAGCAGATTGAAATGGAATATCTAACTGTATGCGCTCCTGCACACTTGATTACCATCTGCTGTCTTATTCAATCTCCTTACTCGGCACTTTGTCCATTCATGCCGTCGTTCCGACCTCCGGGCCATTATTACTGTCCCCCTTGATGTCGCTGCCGTTGTACTTTCATTTCTAGTCTTGTTATTGCTGTGGGGGTTGGATCATGATAAAACCTTGGTCCATAATCATTTGTGGTATGAGAAGCGGAGAGCAACGTGTGGCAAATTTCGCATCCACAGGTGCTGTGTCATTTTTTGGCAAAAAAATACAAGTTGCGTCGCAATTTTTGTCAAAGGTAAAGGTGTGCTTATTTTTGTGGCTTGGATTGAAGTGTGCTTTCTTTATAGTCCCTTTCGAGGTGTGTATTTTTTTCGGTTTTTGAATTGAATTATTGGACAGTATATGGCCCATATAATGACTCGGGCCTGAGTCTAACAGGCGAGGTCTGCATTAACTTCGGTTCGGAGATTAATGCATGTTAGACAGACGCGGACCGTCCGCCACCGAGTCGATGTTAGACTCGATCCGCAGGGCATGAAAGATTGAGCACATTTTTGTGTAGGTCATAATGTGGATCTAGGGCAACGTGCATTGACCCATCCCCTCGGCGGACGTGCATGGAATAACTTTGGGCTCGCTGCGCTACGAAGTCGTAGCTCATCTGATGAAGCTTATGTCCACGGAAGACCACTGCGAAACGGGAACTGTGCAAAAGAAAGAAAAAAATATAACAATTGACTCCAAGTCATGGCTCGGGCCTGAGTCGAACAGGCGTCGTCTGCATTGTACTTAGTATCACTTCACACGAATGTAGAGCAGAGACGGGCCATCCGCCACCGAGTCGGTGAAGCGGTGAAGTCTGCACTGAATAAATAAGCTTTGGATGGAGCACGATATGCATCACACTCTCGGGGAGGGTTACCTTCGCAGCGGAAGAAGGAAAAAGAGACTCGGGCCTGAGTCGAACAGGCGTCATTCACATTACAGTGTCTCGATCGGCGTTAACTTATGCAGAGGCAGATCATCCGCCACCGAGTCGATGAATAACCTCAGGTAAACGAGATAGAGTGTGTGCGCGGAGAGGAAAGCAGTTTATGCTACAGGAGCTGTGTTTATCATGAGGATCGTCGTGACACGTGTAACAAACGCTATAAAGTATTCGGATGCCATTATACCCGACGCTTTATGTTGGTACTCAACCACTCTAGACCCTCGTAAAGACCGTCACCGGAAGTCGCGCACGCCGCCTTGGGGCACGGGTTAGCGCGGGCGCTTATAGAGAGCCATCGGGCGCTTGCTTACCTGAATGTACCAAGATCGCTGTCTGAGGCCGTGGAGGCCAAGGCTGTCGGTGATCCTCCCAGCGTTCATCGCATTCGGCAAGTCCTGCTTGTTTGCGAAAACGAGAAGGAGGGCATCGCGGAGGTCTTCCTCGTTGAGCATCTTGTGCAGCTCCTCCCGGGCCTCAGCCACACGTTGCCAATCATTAGAATCGATGACAAAGATGATGCCCTGGGTGTTCTGGAAGTCTGTGGCGCGGAGTGAGACGGGATCAGAGGGGTGAGAAATGGACACACAGTGCCTCCACAGAGGACGAATATTGTCCTGGCCACCAACGTCCCACACGTTGAATGAAATGTTCTTGTACTCGACGGTCTCGACGTTGAACCCTGATTTATGGTTTAGCACTGCCGGGCAAGACGATCTGGACACGTACCGATTGTCGGAATGGCGGTGACGATCTCTCCGAGCTTCAGCTTGTACAGGATGGTGGTCTTACCAGCGGCATCGAGACCGACCTTATGGAGAGGAGGATCGCATTAGGCTCGTCGAATGAGGCGGGAAAGATCATACCATAAGAATTCCTGCAGAGACGGTACGTCAAAACCTGGTTGTGAGATCGGCTACGAGTACGCACGCATTTCCCTTTTGCTGAAGAGGCCCGAGAGCAAACGAGAAATGGAGAGACCCATAACGAGTTGGAGGGAGGATGTGGAAGGGCGGAGAGCAAGACGGCTGTGAACGCTGTGACCCTTATGCAATACCGAGCTTGGCTAAATCCTTTCTCCTCCTTGCGCGTCTCATATATTGAAGGAGGCTGAGGGACACGTAGGCTCACGTATATCTACGTGGTTGCTGCGGCGGCGGGATTCTGTCGGTGTCATGCAAGAGGTCCGAACAGGATTGCCTGCCTTTATGATGTACTGACTCATGTTTGACTCATGTACATGGCTTTGACAAGAGGTGAGCGATCATTCCGATCTTAACACTGACAACCCCCCAAATCAGGAAGTCCGAGATCACCGACCGACTGGACTTTTTATTTCGGCTCAAAGACGTCCTCAAATCCTCTTGAGATTTCTCCTACCCCTCCATTTGCATACATTATCTACCACTCTATGTACATGAAATAATTTATTTCGCTCTGTGTGTAGTGCAATAGATTTTACCACATTTCAGCGAGCTTCGACAAGACTTTCGGCGGGTGATGGCGATGTCATGGAACTGACACCCAAAGCAGACATGAATCAACTCCAGATGATCGAAATTGCCATATCGGCTGCTTACATACCCCCCCTGACAGGTGATGACTATGTCATGGACTTTACAATCGCAGTCAATCGCTCACCTCTTGACTCATTACATAGCTTTTGAGTTGACATGGTACATAGCAGAGATTGATTTTATTTTTCTTCCCGAATTTTATGTTTTGTGGCCAGGAAATCACTGGATGTGTGGACTCTCAGTAGATGGTGCTCGCTATGCGTGATCTTTCTAGTAGATTTGGCAGAATATTCCGCCGGAATTCACTGTATGTGGTGGTTGTGTCCAATGAACACCTGGACCCGGCCTCGACTACCGAGTCTGTGTTAGTGAGGCACTCAATGGATCAGATTGAAACAAAGGAGGCAGACTGGAAAATCCCCCAAGAAATGAAAGATTAAAATTAAAATAAAATAAAATCATGAAATGAATCCAGACAATGACCCGGGCCTGATTCGAGCAGGCATCTTCTGTATTAGTGCAAGTGGAGGGAAATGAAAGCAAGCAGATGCAGGCCATCCGCTACGCAGTCGGTGCTTACCTGGACCACCACTGCTTGAAAGGAAGCATGATTTCGAGTATAGGGAAATGGCTGAAGGATCAATCCCAGTGAGAATCCCTTATGCTGGGATCTGCCGAAATCTGTCTAAATATGCCCACCCAAAGTAAAACATAAATGAGCATATCTCCACAGAAATTTGGCACTATAGCATATGAGCCTTTGATCTCAATATGCCGGGATCTGCGTAATTCTGCTCTATTTATGCTTAGGTCTGCTGCCCGCTGCTCGTATATGCCTCGCTACATTCCCCGCTTCCTTCACCCATATTACTTGACAAATCAATATTATTCAACAAACTACGACACGATCTACCGTACACAAGTTGGCACCGAGCCTTCCCGACGTGCTCGAGCGTCCTCTGGACCCCATCCGCCTCCTCACGGTCGGAGTACCCTGAACACGAGGCGAACGAAATTCGGCAAGTAAATGAATGTGCTGAATAATTAATCAGTATATGCGCCTGAAAATCAAGTCTAAGACATTACCAGTATGATAAGGATTCAAAAACCCGTTCGGGGCGATGCGTTGACGCTGTACGGAGGTATCACTTACTCAGGGGTGATCCAGGTGGAGTGGTATGACGCGAATGTGACGGGGTGGGGGATATAGGCGACAGTGCTGTGAAATGTATCAGAGAAAAGCTAGAGTCGAAGAGGAAACCTCGCAACAGAGCGCCGGGGGGGGGGGGGGGGGGGGGGAAGCGCAGCATGGACGGTAGTATACGAGATGACCAGAGATTGCACCGTTGCCTTGGCTTCCAATAGCGATGCCTGTGGTGTCGCATTAGCTCACAAGGCAAGGGATTGGGACAAGCATCAGGGAAGCTGTGACGTACCTCATAGCAACTCGCGAGATCGCATTGGATAGGGAAGGGTATCAATGACATTGAGTTTCTATTCCAGAGATGTTACGCACCAAAAAACACGTCAAAACGCGTCAAACAGAATGGAAGAATGTCGTTCATGTTCCTACTCGTTCGTTGGGTCCTCGAGATGGTGGCCACGCGTTCAGAGTGATGGAAGGGTCACAGTGGGAGGGAGGGGCAGGGGAGGGAAGGGAGAGGCGCCTGCGAGGGGATGTGCAAGTGGGAATGGTGGGAAGGGGCGTTTCAAACTCCGACTGATCCCCCGTTTGAGCTGGTCCGTGCGCGACGTCGATATCGCGTCGATGACGGCAGATGCGAACACTGCAACTCTGAACTCAAAAAATACCAAGGCCTACTTGCGCTGTTCCAGTAACTAATTTTCAGGACATTCTCTTGGCATTCTCATTGCGAGCGCAGCGAGCAAATCTTCTCTAACGCACGTGACAGGCATGGGGCTAGGATACGGTCCGGAGAAAATGACGCGGCAGGCGCGCACTGACGCGGCACTGACGCGGCATCTTTTTGAACTTGCCGCTGCTGTTTTTCAGGCATCCACTGCGCATAAATCACACTTATAATGTCTCAGGAAAACTCTAGGGCACCAACTAGGTATGTTTAAGCATAGATGTAGATGATTTGACGAGTTCCTCCACCCATATTGTCTTGTAAACTATTTTGAACATGAAAAAATATATTCCAACAGTCATTAGGATGTCTAAAAGGATCTTGCAACCAATTGGTAACCGCCCCGCTGCCGCGTCACCCGCCGCGTCGATGCGCGCCGATGCCGCATCAATACCGCGCCGGTGCGCGTCAACGCCGCGTCAACACAGCCACCGCCGCGTCAGTGCCGCGTTACCTAAATACACTACACATATTTTATTTAGCACTAATACACATTGGTTCCACAGTTTAAATCATTAATTAATGCTAGTCATGTACATAGTGATTCTGTAAAGCAGGAAAGGGCCTCCAAACCAATCTTGTTGTTAGGATGCAGATCAACTCTATTGGCACTGTTTTCTTGGTTGTTGGCAGGTATAACTAGTCTCCACCCGCACAGTTGAGTTACTAATCAGTACCAAGGTGTTTTCTGAATAAAATGTGTTCTGTGTAACCAAGCCTTACCATGCAAACATGGTTGATTTTCACTTCCTGCAGGGCTCAAATTATTAAACTGTTTGCAGTCCCATAAGTGAGAAATTCGGAAATAACCACTATTCTCTACGTTTCTGTGTCAGAAATGATAGAATGAAAATGCATTCAGGTGGGATGGAATTGGAGTGTAGCCATACACAACTTGGTTTGCTTCCCACAGTTCAAATGACTTTAAAGGGAGCAATCACGGAGGGAACCGGGGAATCAGACAGTGTAATAGCACTTCATGGTCACAAATGTGAATCAAGGAAATTTCTGGGATGAGATGTGGGAACTACAGAATGAAATTGATAATAGAGGGATGTCTCAAGCTCAAATGGTACATGTGTGCTATTCACAAATAGAGTTATTCGGTGTTTGATACTACCTCATGTGAAATGTGATGCTCACTACCCTGTGGGTTGGGATTCCAACCTTCATTGCGCCACTCATTTTTGTAGACACAGAACGTTGGGGTGAGGAATGAGGTGCAAGTGGGAAGAAAGAAAAATCACCTGAAACCAAGATGTGTTCTCGTATCTGCAAAGCAGCATTCGAGATTGCGACACATCCGCGACTGATCTGAGACTGGCTCAGTTATTGTGACTTCCACTCCGAATCACAGAACATTCACACTCAACAAGCACAGTTGACAACACATGTATCCACCATCTTGATAGAATGAAAATGCACCACAGCTTTTGGCAGGGTGGAAGGGGGTGAGGGAGTGCAGTC